GTGGGGGTGGGGGTGTTTTACTTAAGATTTGTCGAAACATGCTTTTATTGTTATTTGTTGAATGATAATGATGTTACTACTGCAGCAGCTTTTTGGATAGTGCCTTGATTTTTACAATAATGTTGTAGAAGGTGGAAGACATGAGTAAATGAACTAATGTTTTCACGTTGTAGTATAGTTAGTAAAAGGTTTTTGTTTAACTTATTTGACTTGCTAGTACCTGCCCAAAAGAAACTTATTAAACAAATATACTCCTTGGAGAGAGCTGGAGCTTAGAAGAGTTGACATGTAACTGTCCACTATGCATTACTTCAGCTTCATTATTGCAAAATGCTGAGGAAATATTGCTTGCTGGTCTGTGCAGGATAATAAGGAAGGGATAGTCTTCCCATTGCCTTTGTACATGGCATGCTACTTGAAAATGTCATGGTTTTTTCCAGTTAATACAATTATGTTTTCATTATATAGGCCTCTTCGTGATATTTTCTTCTTGTTAAGGAAGAAATTGGTGGAGTGCTACATCTTCTGTTTTTTCCTATATGGTGTACTTCAACAAAGAAAGAAGAAAACAAAATTATGAAATATCTGCGTTTGAGATGAATTACCTGGTTTGCTAAAAAGACAAATAAAGAGGCTTGTCAGTTTCTCTACACAAGACAAATCTTGTTAAACAAAATGAAAAGGAGAGTCATATAAAACTCCACCAGATCATTATGAAAGAAGAAATAAACAAAAGTAAGATGTTGGCACAATGGCTAAGGATGGGCAATGCATGGTGTCGACGGACAACATTCATCAAAGGATGGATTGGATTGACTCTGACAAAATATACGAGAGCAGCTAGCAATTTTACTGTAATGGTGGGTCTTTGCACATCAACCTCTGAGTCAGAGATGATACCTCTAGATTCCAGGATACTATTTTTCATATGTTGAAACTCAAGAGGCCCCCTTTGTTATGTGCCAAGCCAAATGGGCTAAAAAAATGTATGTATATATAGCTGAGATCCTGTTCCTTTTTATTTATCAGGTTTACAATTTCTTTTTCTCCTTAAGTAAAGGGCATGTCAAAGACATGTTTCCAATGGAGCACGTAAAAACTGAGGGAGCTAGACAGGGCTTTGAAAAATTAATTGTCTGTCCTTACAACCCTTATGCAGCTGCCTACTTGCATTGAAATTGAGCTCTGGGAACAATGATAAATGCTTAATCAAAGTGAATTGGCATTCGCCATTAGGCTGATAGACATATTGCTGCAAGGTATAAGCTGGCATGCTAACACAGCAAGCTGACAGACATTACAAATTCAGTGGCTTTTAGAGGAAAGAAGTCAAATGTCATAACCAACCTTCTGCAATAACGTGATACTGAGCCCTGGGTATTCCACAGTAGGCACTCTGTACTTTCACTCAAAATGTTCTATGGTCCCAGCACTACGCATTGTGAATAAATGAAATATTGTAGTAAATGGCCCATCAGTGTGAAGTTGGGTAGGTGGATTGGGGGGGGGGGGGGGTAACGGGTATTATTTGGCCTTTTAATGACACCCTTGTTGTCTCATTTCCCTTGTTAAAAATTTTTCTCTGTATGGTTTTGTCTTTCACACCCATGCTCGCACGCACACACATACACACACACACACACACACACACACACACACACACACACACACACACACACACACACACACACACACACACACACACACACACACCACACACACTGAGAGAGAGACAGAGAGAGAGAAAGAGACAGAGAGAGAGAGAGAGAGTCATCTTTATGTTTCTGGAGTCAAAGATTTTCTCTTGCCTTCATTTTCTTTCTGCTTGTATTGAATGCATGAGTGGTTGTGTGCACATGCATGTTTGTATGTGTGTGAAAGTGTTTGTCTGTGTGTAGGCATGAATTTGTGCACCTGTCTCATTTATATTATGTGTGTTTTACTGCATACCTTTGTGTGTGTGTGTGTGTGTGTGTGTGTGTGTGTTTGTGTGTGTGTATGTGTGTGTGCGTGTGTGTGTGATATTGACCCCATACTCTGACTCAACCATTCACTTTCTCGCTCTCTTCCACTCTAGGCTCAGGTAGTCCTGCTGGGTATCCTTACTCTGGCCATCATCAACTTCTTTGTGGGCTTCTTCCTAACTCCCACTGACGAGCAGAAGTCAAAAGGATTCCTAGGACCAAATGGTAAGTTCATCCTCACAGACAGATTTGGGAGGGTGGGTGGAGGGCGCCGCTGGCAGATCCTACTTCTTAGCTTTCATTCTCAGTTATTTCTGTCTGTCTGTCTTACTTTTTCCCCAGCACTAAATGATAGTTATTGAGTCGATGTGCTTTTCTTTACTCAAACACACACACACACACGCACACACAAAAACACAAACAGATGTGGCAAACGAACCATGATGCTATGGTCACTGATGTATCACTGAAATGGCAACCATACTTGTAATTTTTGTCCCATGGTTGTGAATTGTACTTGTTTTTGTTCATAACTTGAGAGGCTGATTTGTTTGTGGTGCGGAGGAAAGTTGTGTCTACTAATCTACTATTTTTAGAGCGATGTCCGCACTTGCTGACAAGTAAGGCTGTCTTTGTCTATGTTTATTATTTAGTATGCTGGTTGTGGCCTCCCTGAAAAGTCCATAGTTTCTTTTCATTAGTCTCATTGTTTTCTGCTGCTCGTTATTATTTAAACATTTTCCCCCTATGTCCTCTATCCCCAGTTGATCTGTTCAAGACAAATCTGATGGCAGATTATGAACAAGGCCAGTCATTCTTCAGTGTCTTCTCAGTGTTCTTCCCTGCCGCCACAGGTATCCTGGCTGGAGCAAACATTTCAGGAGACCTCAAGGTGAGTTGCTTGTACCTGTACAAATACACAAATGGCATGGATATACCTGTACCCCCCGGGGTGGCGCTACTGAGTGTCTTTAGGCCATTCCCAAAGGGGGGATATTAACATGTTCTTTTGCAAAGTAGAATTGTAAATGGGCTGATTCATCAATGTCATGCTTATAGCTGTGCCTGAACTGCAACAGGGAACTGCTGCTTTTTCTTTCCTAATCCTTACTATCATCATTTTTCGTCTACTTCTTTTGTATGTTTGTCACACTCTTGTGACCCCCTATTTCCGGGGTGCCTTGATAGTCAAAGCAGACTTTGTGCTGTTGAAGCTAGAGAGGTGAGCAGCGTAAGCCTGATTCCCTGTACTGTAAAGACTTCTTTGTTGACATCCACCCCTTGGCGCTCATATGACCGTAGGCAGTTGCAAGCGCCTTAAAAACTCTTCTAAAACTAAAAAAACTAAAGGATATATCTATCGATGGGTAGTTGGCGGGTGCTTTGGTGTGGTTTACTCCTTTTTTCTTTTCAACATCTGTCACCCTTATCTCCCCTCCTTCTTTTTTGTGTTTGTTACTCTCTTGCAACACCCCTAATTTTTGGCACTTATATGATCTTAATGTTTTGCAAGTGCCGTACAACACAAACTAAAACTAAAACATACCTGTTAGTCTGCACGTAGAAATGCTCGTATATCGACAGTGTTGTGCTCAAACCATGTATGTGTTTCTTGAAAATTTTTCTTCCTTTCTTCTGATTTAAATGATGAGCTTTAGAAGACCCCAAAGTTAGCCCATCAGTACATGTACTTTTATACAGTTTGTAGCGCATGCTGACTCGGGGGTTTTGCTGAGGACTTGCAGATTGACTGACTAATAAAGAGTTAATATGTTTCTTCCTAATTTTTTTTTTTTTGACGTATGTTGATTCATGTAGGCTCGTCTGCTGGCACTAGACTTAGGCATCTACTCTTTCATAAACACAAGAGTACCCAACACGCATGCACGTACACCCACACACATATGCACACACTCATACGCGTACACGCTTGTGGGCTTATAAACACACACACACACACACACACACGCTCACTCACACGCACACATACGCTAACACACTCACATATGCTCACACAATCATTCTGGCAATCTCACTTGAACATCTGCACATGTACAGACACATGAACACCTTTTCATTCGTAAACATGCTCACACACACATGCATACCAACCTGGATTTTAATGGAAATACGTCGTATTTTAAGGGTAAAAATGACTTACTGGCAACATTTATAAAGTTTATCCAGCTTTTCCCTCTTTGACCCACGAGATTTTGAGACTGAAATGGTCTTATAGTTTCAAAAGGAGATTAAAATGGTGAATCGTTTTATATTTAGTTAGAAGAGAGAGAATGCCTACTGGGAAGTTAAAAACACATCAAAGGGATGGGAGGAATGCAGCCAGAAGTTGTGTAGGTGATTTTAGTTTTAGTAGAGGTTTTACGGAGCTCGCAACATCACTGTTAAGACTCGTTACAATGAAAATTTTAAAAAAGAAGAAAGGGAAAGGAAAAAAAAACAAACGGTCTAATTACTAAAGCGATTCATTTTGATGTGCGAGGGCTGGACATTTTTAGTCATAAAAGTAATGGTAGTTGTCGACCACTGGTTTTAGCACGTTGGAGGTCCAACCGTTCTTTGTTTCAGGAATGAAGCTAGCTGTATAATTATGTATTTTGATGACCTTGATGTGGCCTGGGGAATTGATGATTACAGGCTTGTCCTGAGATAACCCTGGGTTTTGAAAGCCATTTTGTATGATTAATTTATTGATCCATCGTGAACTTTTCCCGAAAAACATTTACCTCTGTCAGAGAATAAAGGGCATATTTTCATTTAAGGAAATGATTTATCACTGTGTATTCCCGTGGATGGCAATTGTTTTAGAAATGTACCAGGAGCCATTTAATATTCTTTTACAACTCAAATTGTCGAAAACTTTGGTTGTGAGCTGTGCTTTTCCAATGGGTGATGAAAAAGTGATGATAATCTTCGAGGTACAGGCCACATTTTGCTTCCATAAAGGCTGAATGTGAGAAGTGGTCATCAATAAATGAGTAGGCTGTAGCAGTGCTTGATTGATGGGCCATGGGTTGACATTAAGCGTAGTTATAGCGTATGTGCAGTTATCGTTGGTTTGTAATCAACGAGAAAGGTATCTGGGAGGTTAAAGCATGTGATGAGTAAGTATTTCATTGAACATGTTACATGGGAGAGGTTTTAATATATGTAGCATTCCATATGAATTTTGCTCCAACGACTTGGTTTAAGACACATGAAAGCCAGTCTTTTCTTTCTTTTTTTTTTTCCTTCGTGTTTTTGTTTTTTAAATGAAAGAGTGAAAAATCTGAATATTTTTTGTCCTTTTTTGTCCCAAGGAACGCATTCAGATTTTATGTCATCTCAGCTGCTCTTAATCAGATATATATGTTAAAAGGCACATGGCGGAGAGGTGTGGTGTTAAAGTGTAACTGAAAGGGTTTCTTGTGCGCAACTGTCGCCTTATCGCGACCTTAGCATTGCAAAGTTCTGTCTGACATTTTCGGCCGTTTTGAGTTACTAAGACCATGAGGTCAGAAACCAAATGTTCTTTCTGCTCTATCAAAATCGTAAGATTATTCGGAGTCGTTATCAAGACATTCAAAGAATTGCATGTGAAGAATGCTTGACATGTTGTGAAACTCAGGATTTTTGACGTCGAATGACTCAAAACTTGGCACTGAGCAGATAGACCTTTGTCATTCTAGGGTAGCATTGTGCCTTGATCGTGGTGGCATCGAACACCTCATGGCACGGAACACCTCGTGGCACAACTTATCATAATTGTCATGCCTTTGTAAATGTTTCCCCGTTCTGAACTTCTGAGTATACGGCCCATGGGTAGGCAGTATGTTCTTTTACCAACGCTACACAAGTAACACAATGCAGTTTTTGTTTTAATGAAGCATGGAACAAAGTCAAGTCTTTGCAAGGGAAAAAATTATTGACAGACAATCCTGTTGGTAAACATGTGTTTGTATGTATGAGTGTTGGACTGAGCCTTCTCAGGGTTTTCTGAAATCTGAATGTTTCTAGAGATACAGAACGGAACTGTCCTGAAGTATTTAAAAAGTTTTGTTAGTGTCTTAGTCTGTGGCTCTAAAACACGCTGCTGTGCATGTCCCTGGACTATTTGTATTATGTGTATGTAGGCGTGTAAAGTGGGTGTGTTTCCTATTTTTCTGTGTTTGTGTTTTTGTGCCTTAGAAAGTACTATCACATTTATTGTTGTATTTTTTTAGGGGGAGGATGTGTCCTTTATCGTTAATTTACATGTAGTGGCCGTGGAAGATGTTCTAGTCGCAACCCCTACTTCCTCTGCTATTTGTCTCCTGTCCCATTGTCCCCTAGAACCTTGTTGTGATCATTAGTGGGTGGGCATTGTGGCGTGGTCTGCCTCCTTTACTTCTTTTCAGTTTGACTTATCTTTGGGACATCGTGTTTTGATCTCTCCCCGTAATTCATTTTTTAAAAAGAAGTATAATATTCAAGACAAAAGTGCAATGACAAACATTGGACCGCCCATAGCTCAATTTGCATCATACTTGACTACGATGTTGATGACGCTGGTTGAATCCTTTAACCAGACGTATTTTAACGTAGGATATGTATGGAGTTTTCATTGCTCTCCGCCTTGACGGCTTGGTCTTATTGGAGATGTGCGTGAAGTCGTGGGTCACGCCGCTTTGATGACCTTATAGCATTGAAGCGGACGTTGAAGAGACGTACATAGAATCTTCTACTTGTACCCTAACTCTTAGGTAGTGTTTCTGGGTTCTGCCGTGAAAATCTGTTCTCTCTAGATTTACACTTTCCCGATCGTGAGCGAGGGTCCGGCTGTCTGCAAAAATCTACAATGTCCATGTAGTGGTGTTGTCTGTCCATCGTTTCTTTTTGCCTGTCTCTCTTTCTTCTCTCATTGTTCTTTGCAGAAGTCTTTACAAAGACACTTGCTCTGTTGTGAAACGTTTTGGGGGGTGTTGGGGGGTGTTGGGGGTGGCGCAATATTGTACTCGATGGTCTGGCGTATTTGTTTGCTTTGGAATATTGCACATGTAGGGTACGCTAAATAATATGTTAGCATTTCATCACATTTCTAGTTCTTGTAGTTCTCTGCCGCCCAGCGCCTCTGTTATGCCCTTCTGCTTCTCATCCCCTGTGCTTGTTTTCGTCTGTTCGTCCAACTTTACCCCCTGGTATAATGACCGTTATTGTGTTGATGTACTTCTCTTTAACTCAGACTCAGCTCTCTGCAGCTGGGTACCACATCTATCAAAGGATAAGTGTTCGATTGTTGCCTCGGTACCACATCTATCAAAGGATAAGTGTTCGATTGTTGCCTCGGTACCACATCTATCAAATGATAAGTGTTCGATTGTTGCCTCGGTACCACATCTATCAAATGATAAGTGTTCGATTGTTGCCTCGGTACCACATCTATCAAATGATAAGTGTTCGATTGTTGCCTCGGTACCACATCTATCAAAGGATAAGTGTTCGATTGTTGCCTCGGTACCACATCTATCAAATGATAAGTGTTCGATTGTTGCCTGGGTACCACATCTATCAAAGGATAAGTGTTCGATTGTTGCCTCGGTACCACATCTATCAAAGGATAAGTGTTCGATTGTTGCCTCGGTACCACATCTATCAAAGGATAAGTGTTCGATTGTTGCCTCGGTACCACATCTATCAAATGATAAGTGTTCGATTGTTGCCTCGGTACCACATCTATCAAATGATAAGTGTTCGATTGTTGCCTCGGTACCACATCTATCAAAGGATAAGTGTTCGATTGTTGCCTCGGTACCACATCTATCAAATGATAAGTGTTCGATTGTTGCCTCGGTACCACATCTATCAAATGATAAGTGTTCGATTGTTGCCTCGGTACCACATCTATCAAAGGATAAGTGTTCGATTGTTGCCTCGGTACCACATCTATCAAAAGATAAGTGTTCGATTGTTGCCTCGGGCTGTTTCTGTTTCCTCCTTCCTCCCCCACCCCACCCCCTCTCCTTTGTCCTTTGTTCCTTTGTTCTCCTGCTTGCCTGAGAATTACGGGTCTGCTTGGTTGATATGTGGATGGTTGGCGGGCGCTCTGATGTAGTTTGCTCCTTCTTTCCTATCAAATGTCTGTTGCACTTTCTTCCCTTTTTATGTTTGCTACTTTCTTGTACCACCTCTAATCTTCGGTACGTATATGGCATAATGTGTTCCAAGTGCTATAAAACGCTCCTCTTATACCTCCTCCTCCTTTTTCTGTGTATGTTACTTTCTAGTAACACGTTTAATAGTTGGCACTTGTATGGCCTAATTGTGTTGCAAGTGCCGCAAAAACTCGTACTAAAACTAATAAAGTCTGTTCGGTGGGGAATGTTACTGTCATCGTGCGGGTTTCGGGTAAAAAAACAACCCAAAACAGTAACAGCACTGCAGCAACCACACCACAGCACGGGTTTTAAAAAAGGGAGAAAAGGAGGAAGCTGGTGGAAACTCCAGGGTGAATAGATTCCAACTTCGATATTATTTGCATTATTTAAACGTGACCTTTGGACCCTGGTCCTGTGGAATGTTATCATAGACCGGCCCGTCGCAATTTCTCCCCGCTGTTGAATTGCTTGTGGCCCAGAGGTTCCCTGGGTGGTGCACTAGTGATTGATTGGCAGATATTGATTTGCTGCTGATCAATAGGAGGCTGCTCCTCGAGCCGGCAACATCAAGGGCGTTTTCACCCGAAGGTTGATCGGGAGAGAATTCACGTCATGAATTTGTGTAAGGGCCGGCACCCAGCCTGCATTATGCTGGTGTAATAGGGGCTTTGTTTAGCTGCAGGCAAGGCAATGTGCTGAGAGAAGGGGTGGTGGGAGGGATGCGATAGACTGAGTGTGTGGGGGATGGACTGGGTTTGTGGGGATGAGTGGAAAGTGTAAGTGTGTGTGTGTGCATGCGCGCGCGCGTGTGTGTGTGCGTGTGCTGGAATTTGACTATATAGGAGACAATGACAATTATTATTTTTGATACGATATATTAATATTCTTAAGCGGAAGGGGTGGGGATTTTTTTTTGGGGGGAGTGGGGGTTGGGGGTATTGACGATCAAGAAAGGGGAACCCGTATGAGAAGATAGTAATGAGGAGAAGGGGGAATTTGGAGTGGTGGTTTAGGAAAGAGGGCACAAGGAAACTCAGAGAGGAAATTGATACAGAAGGGGAGAGAAAAGGATGAAGTGGGCAAGACTTATGTCTGACAGGCCCGATAAGGAAATCAGTCTGAGTAGCTGATTGACGTTGGCTGAAGAAAGTTCCAGAAATAGAACGGACATTGTCTATGCAGCCGTGAGGAATTCTGTCGTCTTGTTTTTCAATAATTGAGTAGTGGTTATATTTTCGCATGTCTCTAGATTTATATCTCTCAAGCACGCTGGGTGAATATCATGGAATTCTATTTTTCGTTTCTCAAGAGAAAAAAATTAAGAAATAACTACAAGAGAGTGGGTGAGGATTGGGGGGGGG